ATTTGGGTCTTCTCTCTTCTTTTTTTTAGTTAGCCATGTTAATGGTTTGTCAATTTTATTTATCTTTTCAAAAAACCAACTTTTTGATTAATTGATCTTTTGTATCATTTTTTTGGTTTCAATTTCATTAATTTCTGCTCTGATCTTAATGATTTCTTGTTGTCTGCTAACTTTGGGTTTGGATTTTTCTTGTTTTTGCAGTTCTTTAAGGTGAAGAATTAGGTTGTTTACTTGCCATCTTTCCGTTCTTCTGAAGTAAGCACTTAATGCAGTAAATTTCCCCCTTAGTACTGCTTTTGCAGTATCCCACAGGTTTTGGTATGATGTATAATTGTTTGTCTGGCTAGGATCTTGTCAGGACTGCCAATTTGGCATGGCTGCCTCAGTGCCTGTAGATGGAAGGTTTGGGCTTCTCTGGTCGGTGCCTACTTGTCTGGGCTGTGGGGGAGGTCCAGCAGCAGTGAGGCCTACCTGCTCAGTTGTGTTGGCACCTCAGGGCACGTGGTCGCCATGGGTCTTGGGCCTCTCCGGAGGGGCACCTCTCTGGTTGGCATGCACTCGCCCGGGCTGGGCAGGAAGAACAATCCTAATCCAATCCAGGGTGCATCTGGAATTACTAATAACCAACAGTAGAACTGTGAGCACATAGCTTAAAGATTAAACTGAAGGGGAATGTGAGAAGAGTCAACATAGAAAGAACTGTTATGTGAAATGGACTTAGTTCTTGTTTTCTGGAACTACAGTAAATTTAGACCAACAGATTTCTACTGTAGGGAAGTAGACTTTGCCTCAACATAACAATCAGAGTTCTCCATAAATGGGATGAGCATCAAGATTTGATTAATTTTTTCCTCCCTGACATTTTTTAAATATAGGCTCAACGGCTATGGAGAAGAAATACTAAAAAGAAAGATACCCACTTTAGAATTAGCCTGTATGATCTTAGTAGCTAGACAATCAGACTTGTGTCCTAGGCATTGCCTATAAATACACATGCTAAATAGATCAGTAAAATATCAGTTTCACCCATGATTTCACAGAGGGAGCTGCAGTAAGAATCCAGATTGGGTTGATGATGGCACCTCCACATTGGTGATTGCCCAGAAACCTCCAACCCACCTGCCATGGCCAACAGTAGGGTAGGCTTCATCCCCTCCTGCAAGTTTTCTGAAAAGCCAGTGGAGACTAAATGGAGGGATGCCACAGATGTCTACAGCAAAGAAGATGAAGTCAATGACCCAACCAGCTGAAATAATTAAGAATACACTCTTTCAATGGCCAGCCATAGTCGATAGTAGTAACTCCCAAACACCAGATGGGCTTTATAAAGATATTGACTACTGAGACCCATCTCTGAGGAATCTGATTTAAAAAGCCTGCCCAGGGGACTCTGTTAGACAATCAGGATATTAGGTACTGGCCTAAAGAATAACACTTATTCATTTAATAAATATATATTTAGTGCTTGCTATCTACCAGGTACTGTTCTAGATATTAATGATATATCAGTGAAAGGAGAGACAGAAATACTGGCCCTTGTGGAATTTACATTCCAGTAGGAAAATTTCAGATCTGTTAGTAGAATACACAAGGTTCTTCACTATATATCCTTTTTTTTTTTAACCTCTTGTTCTCACTGTATAAAACCATTTACCAATCCTCAAACTTGTCAAATTTGCTCACACATCTAAATGCTGTTCTCTTATCTGTAAACCAAAATAGGACTCTGGAAGTTTCAAGAACCTAAATATAAGTCTCATTGTTCTTCACTGTGGAGTTATAGCAAACATAGAATGAGGCATTCCAAAAGAGACATCTAGTTAATAAAGAAATAAAATTAGACAGACAATGAGGCCATCAACTCACCATACTGAATAGCTTTTGCAGTAGGTACAGCATTGGTTTTGGTAGATGATGTTGCCCCAATTTTGTTTAGAGCATCTATACAAGAAAATTATTTTTTTAATTAGGAATATTTAGTTTCTACACTAACTGACCCTACTTGCTTACCCTGGTCAATCATAAAACCACTCAACTGATCTCACTAACACTACCATCACATGCTGTATGCCAGATCCCATAGGTGTGATTTCTTTCTCTCTCTTAACATCCCTGTTGCATCTGGCTCTTTTAAGCACTTCTTCCTTCCTTGGCTTCAGGATATACCTATACATATGCTATATACCTATGGCCATCTTTTCTCAATCTTAGTCTTTTTTTTTTTAACCAAGATCCTATTCTTCCACCTAAAAAGATATTCCATAAGGTACTATTCATACCCTATTCTTATTCACCTATGGGAATTATACATATCCATATGTGACCAAGAGCAGTGACCCAGGAATGTTCATGGCAGCATCCTGGTATGAGCAAAGACTGGAAACTCACTAAACATCTTAATAGGGAACTGGCTTACTAAATTATGGAATATCACACAGTACTTTATGTAGTCATTAAAAAGAGCTCTGTGGGCTCATCTGGAAAGATCTTTGAGATATTTTTCAGTGGACAAGTCATTGCCGAGCAACGTAAGTATATATATGTTGGTATATAGTCAGAATACCTCCCCGAGGAGACCACAGTAACTTACCAGTGTTTGCCTCTAGGGGGCGGGATGGGAGTCCGATGAGAAGGAGCCTAACTTTTCATTTTATACACTGTTAAACCACTTAAA